CATGTATATAAAAATGAAAGGAGTCCCTTGAGTTAGTTTTTATTTAAAACGACAATGACAACTCTGTATTAATGCTTAATATTTATAAATGCTTCTGATAAGATTACTCTATTCTGACCCTTATGCTATTCATTCATCTTTAAGTTTAATAAAGTGTCAAAATACATAAGCCTTCTGAAATTTCAGTTTCTCTAAAGGATTAAGAAATGTTTGCCAAATTACAGCAGTCTCTAGCTATGAGCGATAATTTTGTGATTGTCATTTGAAATTACTTTTGGGTGATTTAAACTAAATGCTCAAGAATTTTTCAACAATTTTATATAAACAACCTATCTGATATATGAGTTTTGGATGATACAGTGGTCCTGAACTCTCATGAGCAGCTTGGAAGCCAGAGGCAGTGTCCTGTGAGGATGGATGCTGGAAGGATGTTAAGTCCAGACGAAAAGCAGTCGCTATGATAGATTCCTCTATCCATCTATAAACACAAAGACTGGGTTCCACCCCATTAATTTGGCCTCGAATTTCAAAGTTCAAGACAGATTTTCTTCAGTATATTGGCTCTGTTGGCATTTTCAAATAATTTCTCAACTTAATCATGATTGAGATCCTAAATGTCATTGAGCTAATTCACAGAACAATTAATAGCAATTGGTGGGGGAAAAAATTAATATCAGATTAATAAGCTCAGTTCTTGACACAACCCCAAGTATTCACTTCTAAGTAAGTGAGCCATTATGCTATCTTATCCAAAATAAAGATGATTAATGCACTTTTTTCTCTTCCATAAACCAAAGGGCTTAATTAAACGATTGTATCACCTTTAATCTATCTTTGGAAGGATTAACTATCTTCCCAGTCAATGACAAAGATTTTCTGTGCTAGAATCTTATTTTCTCTTTTGTAAGTTCTTTTTACAGTTCAAAAATACTTCCTAACCACTGGCAGACCCTTGTTAATATATATGAATGAATAGTTCAGGGCCCCAGTACAAACAGCCTGCTTGGCTAAACTCGTGTACCCATGAAAGCCTGACACTTGTAGGACCAGGAGAAAGATCAGTGAAATTGTGGGCATTTACTGCTCATTATTGTACAAACAGACAGCATGTGGTTCCTCATTTTTATTTCACTTCCATCCTATAAATCCTTGACAATTCTAAATGTAGATGTGTCTACAGAAATCCTCTCAATGTGAAAACCGCCATTGTTTATTTTCCCAACAGTGACCAGTTACATACAAGGTGTTAGGGCAAGATTTTCTGATGGCCATTCTTGCAATTTCTGTGTCTTCTAAAAACATGAATCCTCTTTCTCTAAGTCCTAGACTTTTACCTAATAAGCTAAGATAAACATGAGTAATCAAGATATAAATAGTAATCTGTAAAAACGTAGATTAAACTAAGCACATGCTGCAGGGAGTAATTAACCGTGGCACTGGTAACAAGTGTGCTAAATAAATGATAACTCTTATGCTTCAACAGCTGTGGTGATAACCATATTCTCAGATGTGGGCAAGGGAGGTGGTAGGAAGTAGCTATTCTTCCTGGTTGTTAATATTTGCAAACCCCATGACAACAATAGTTCCAATTTGTAACAGGAGAATCAAAAGGAACCAGAATAAAGGCAAAATTCTACCATTAAAAATGAAAGACACTAATACAAGTCTCTATGTTTCTCTTGGATGCTCTGTGCTGCCACATATTTCTCCAAGTTCAGACACATCTGCCAATTCATCCTTATTTAAGAAGTCAATTAAGGCTTTAAAAAAGATGCAGAGCCTCTATTAATGATTCCTAGCTATGGCTATGCTTCAGAATCCCCATAGTTCTTTAGAAATGTATTGCACTGGATGTCTTCCCCCACCCCATCTCTGCATTTCCTGTCCTTATTCAGCCTCCTACCCTCTGATTCTAATTCTGTACGTCTGAGGTAAAACCCAGGAATCTGCCTGGGTTTACATGGTGTTTTTGTCTTTACCAGCTTTACTTAGACTTTGTTAAATGCTCTTCTCCAAAGTTCCATATGTCTCATACAATCAGAATTTGGCAAGCAAACTTCAACTAAAAAATATCCTGCAGTTATGACTTGAGCTACTGAGGCATGCAAGGGTGGAGAGGAAAACATGGACGCTGAGGCTGGGCGTGGTGGCTCACACCTGTAATCCTAGCACTCTGGGAGGCCAAGGCGGGAGGATCACTTGAGGTCAGGAGTTCGAGACCAGTCTGAGCAAGAGTGAGACATTGTCTCTACTAAAAATAGAAAAATTAGCCGGGC